TTCAAGAGACTGTCTTTTATCCAGGGATTAATTTTAGCTCCTTTGTCAAAAATTAGTTGGTTATAGATGCTGGGATTGATTTCTGGAGTTTCTGTTCCATTCCATTGTTCTACACATCAATTTTTTTCACTGGTACTAGACTGTTTTGATTACAACTGCCATTAGAATGTCTTGAAATATGATATTGTAATGCCTCCAGCTTTGTTTTTGGGTGTTTAAGATTGTTTTAGTTGGGGCCAGTGCTGTGCTGTAATGGATAAAGCAGCCTCCTGTAGTGCTCGCATCCCTTATGGGCATCGGTTCGAGTCCCGGCTGCTCCACTTCAGATCCAGCTCTCTGCTGTGGCCTGGGGAAGCAGTACAAGATGGTCCAAGTCCTCGGGCCCTTGCACCCACGTGAGAGACCTGGAAGCTTCTGGCTCATGGCTTTGGATTGGCACAGCTCCAGCCATTGCAGCCATCTGAGGAGTGAACCAGCAGATGGAAGATCTTTCTCTCTCTCTGCCTCCCTTTCTCTATATATATCTCTTTCAAGTAAATAAATAAATCTTTTTTTAAAAAAAGATTGCTTTAGCTACTCAGGGTTTCTTTTGTGTCCATATGAATTTTAGCATTCTTTTTCCTAGATCTGAGAAGAATGTCATTGGTATTTTGATTGGAATTGCATTGACTCTGTCAATTGCTTTCAGTACTATGGACTTTTGAAGATATTAATTCTTCTAATCCATAAACATGGAAGATTTTTCCATTTTTGTGTGTCGTCTTCTATTTCTTCCTTTAATTTTATAGTTTTCATCATAGAGATCGTTCACCTCCTTGGTTAAATTTATTCAAGGTAATTAAATTTTTGTGAATCTATTGTGAATGGGACTGATCTTACACGTTCTTTTTCAGCCATGGTTTTAAATGGCATTTTCTAAGCCGGGGTGTTGGGACTGAATGTCCCCTTGAGTTCCCATGTATTTATTTAACTTACTTCAGAAGCAGAGAGATGGTTACAGACAGGCAGTCAGAAAATGCTCCCATCAAGTGGCTCACTCTCCAAATGCCCTAAATGGCTAGCACTGTGCTGGGGCCAATGCCAGGAGCCAGAGCTCAATCCAGGTTTCCCACATGAGTGATAGGAACCAATTACTGAGCCATCCCTGCTGCATTCCAGTCTTTGAGGGGAAGCTGGAACTGGGAGTTAGAGCCAGGACTCAAACCCAGGCTCTCCAATAAGGGTGTCGGAATCTTAAAGGTTAAGCCAAATCCCTGCACTCTCGTTTATGTTTTTGTTCCTTTGGCATCATGGCAGTGTTCTGGGATGGGTTTTAACTTAAATCCCTAATCAGAAGTTTTTATTAAAAAGCTCACAAAGCTCTTTTTCTGACAATTTTTAAATTCTACCTCTGCCTACTACAAGTAGAGTCATTCCTCGGGTTTGTTGGAGGGTTAGTTCCAGGAGCCCCTGCAGTTACCAACATTTGCAGATGCTCATAATATACAGTATTTGTGTATAATCTATACAACCATCCTGTATACTTAAAGCTATCTCTAGATTACTTGTTTGTTTGTTTGTTTTTTTTATTTATTCATTTGAGAGGCAGAGTTACAGAGAGAGGGAGAGACACAGAGAGGTCTTCCATCCATTGGTTCACTCCTCAAATGACCACAATGGCTGGAACTGGGCCAATCTGATGCCAAGAGCCAGGAGCTTCTGGGTCTCCCAAGTGGGTGCAGGGGCTCAATCACTTGGGCCACCCTCCACTGCTTTCTCAGGCCATCAGCAGTGAGCTGGATCAGAAGAGAACCGATGTCTATATGGGATGCCGGCGCCACAGGCAGAGAGGCTTAACCCACAGCACCAGCCCCTAGATTACTTGTAATACTAATACAGTGTAAATGCTGTGTAATAAAGCTGCTACAGTATATTGTCAGGGGACTAAAGATGAGAAAGTTTGTACATGTTCAGCACAGGTGAAATTTTTTTCTAATATTTTCAACCTGCATTTGGTTCATAGAACCTGTGAATACGAGGGCAAACTGTACTCAAATAATTTTTTTCTATACATTTTAGCCTCTTGCGAGGAAAAAGATTAAACCAGAAACATATGAAGTTTTGAACCATAACAGCCATTATGGAAAGCAGTGTGGAGTTTCCTCAAAAATTAGAAATAGAAGAACCACATGAGCCAGTAACCACCATGGGTATATATCCCAAGGAAAGGAAACGAGTTGAGGGAACAGACACCTGTACACCCACGTTTACTGTAGCACTATTCACAACAGCCACGATACAGAATGAACCAAAGTGTACACTGACAGATGAGTAGATAAACAAAATGTGGTTCCATATACACAGTGGAATACTACTCAAGCATAAAAAGAGTAAAATCCTGTCATTTGCAGCAGCATGGATGACCCTGAAGGACATTACAGTAAGTGAAATAAGTCAGGCCCAGGGACTATTACTGCATGTTTTCACTTATATGTGAAAGCTTCAAAAGTTGATCTCATAGAAGTAGAGAGTAGAATAGTGATGACCAGAGGCTGGAAAGGGCAGAAGGGAGGAAGGAATGGGAGAGACAATGGTTAATGGGTACAGAAGTGCAGTTGGATAGAGGAATACTTACAACATTCTATACCACAGTGGGGTAACTGATGGAAAATAATTAATTATATATCTCAAAATAGCTAGTAGACAGGATTTAGAATGCTCCTAACACACACACACACACAAATCATAAATACTTGAGGTGGTAGATATGCTAATTGCCCTCATCTGATCAATACATGTATTGAAATATCACACTGTAAAATTATTGTTTCAAATAAAAATTTAAAATATTTTTTAAAACAGAAGCCTTGAACTATAAATCCTTTTGCTCCACCAGATTTAAAAATTCTATTGTGGAGCACTTCCTGGTTTTTCATTTTCTCTGAGTTGTAGGAGAGACCTTGGAAACCTCAGAAACAAACTTGGACCTGTATTGAAGAACAGACAAAGCATTTACTAGAGATGCTAATTCTGAAATCAGAAAACTCCTGATCACTCTTTTAATGATGGATATACTTGTTCACATTAGTATTTTATTAGAGAATCACAGCTTGGAATTGGGTGAGACCTCAGTCGTCATGGATAGCACACTGGCCAAACACAATCAAATGTAGCTTAACTATTTTAAAGTGGCCCTTACAGTTTTTAAAATTAAGGACTTCCCATGAAAAATGCAAAGCTTCTGTTTTCCTTGAAAATCTGGCACGATTCAAAGCTTGGGCAGCAACAATCAACTCCAATAGAGAATGTTTGATAGAGGTTTGCCTGTCCAGAGGCCACATTCCATAACCCTCCCTCTCACTTGTCTCCCATCAGGCCTGCTACACTCTATCCCACCTGTTGGATCCTTGCCCACACCTGAAATGCAGACACCTTAAAGAAAAAAAAAGGGGGGGGGGGATAGAACCTGGACCCAGAAAGAGCTTCCCTATCCACTGGCTCCATGCTCTTCCACCAGGTTTGTATCATAGACCCTGCAGCTTTAAATTGAAGGTAATTTCTAGACCTCACAAGATTGTTAGGAGGATTTTAAAAAGTCCATGGAAAGTGCTTTGTGAACCATAATGTAAAGTGTTGTCATCATTATCTGTCTCCCAGCCTTCTGTGAGTTGGATAAATCCTCATGTCTACCTTAAATGTCATTTGACTTTCTTATTCCTTTCCATTATTACACTTTGTATGACATAGTTTAAAAATATAAATGATATTAATTTGATATATGTCCTTTCTCATTCAACAACAGTAGAAAAGACGAACAAATAACAACAGAAAATAATGTGAATTGTTGAATGCTAGTAGTTCCTTACACGGTCATTTCTGTCTGTGGTGAAGGTATGAAATTGGTGCAAAGTGTAATTACTGGCTTGCTGATGCCTTCACGTGCTAGTTTATAAGTTCACCCACAAGGCACTTGGAGCCTCAAAACAAAACTGACAGTCCAGGTATCAGGTGCTCCCGTGGAACTGAAACCCTGACCTCTTTCAAGAGTCTCGTCTATGTTCCTGGAAAGGAGCCAGTCTATGAAAAAAAAAATCTACAGTTTAACATGAGCTCTAAAACCTTAGACTCTGGAGTAGTAACCTATGGCACGTATTTTGCATCTATCAACAAATGAATATTGACATATCTTCCAAAAGTCGATGAAAGACTTGAAAGAACACAGAATCTTTCCAGAAACAGGCAGAGGTGGGTGCAGAAAACTGCACATAAATAATTATGCCATGGATATAGAAATGTTAGCAAAGCTCTATGTCATGGATGCTATCTTGTTATGCTACGAATGGACACATATGTATTTCTGTTCTGGTCACTTTACAACATATTATTCTGGTGTGGGGAATCACAAACCACTTTCTGCTTTTAATGCTAAGGATGTCATGCCTAACTAGACATGGAAATCGAGAGGAAGAAGGGACTTCAATCGCAATCAAGTCAAGTCTTGATATCACCAAAATGGGAGTAATTTATGATTCAAGACACAATCCATTGAGCAAAATCATCTGACAAATCCTTTTAAAAGCCACATAGGGCAATTACAGCTTTTCCTGAAGTTTAATGAAACCTGCACACAGATGAACGAATGCCAAATTACTACAAAGTCCTCAGTGTACATTTTATTACAAAAAAAAATCAAACAAACAACAGCATCATTTAAGAAATCAGTTCTTTCAATAGACGTCCCAAGGCTGATGTTTAAGCCAGTCTCCTTGGCAACCGAGGAACACTGTACATACCTGGGCCGGGGGTGAGGGGAGGAAGGGGGAGCAACTCTGGGGTTAGTAGCAGAAGTAACCAGAGTAGTAACTGCTCCCTCTAGACGACGCTGCTTGAGGCTGCCTACCCCTGAAATTTCAACTCCGGGTCTCGCCCCCCACCCCGGGAGCACCAGCAGCCTCCCACCCTCTCCCCTGGGTCTGCAGACACCAAACCCGGACAGGTTACAACGAGACAGACTGGCTTACCCGCTAGGGTGAGCGATCTGCTGGGTTATGTACCGGAGGCGGCAGCGCGGGCACCGGGCTCTCCCTGTTGCACAATGGCTCTGCTTGCTCCTCACGGTGCTGAGGTTAAGGGAAACCGCAGTAGCTTCGCCCTGCCGGTTTAGGGATGCAGTAGTGGCGAGGGAGCGCGCGCGCCTGCGCGCCCCCGGACTCCCGGGCGGATACTGTGGTCCCTAGTAAATAGAAAGCAGCAGCCCGCGCGGCAGGTGGCTCGGCCGGCTCGCTCGGCCCCAGGCAGCCGGCTGCAGCCTCCAGACGCACCTTTAGGGCCCCCCGGGCGGGTTCGGACGCCCCAGCGGCTCCGCCCACTCCCGCCTCACGCGAGCCCGCGCGCAGCCCCCCGCCCCTTCCCTCTCCGCGGGTAGTCGGCGCGCGCGCTCCCCTCCCCGCTCCGCCCCCGCCCCCGCCGCTGGCGAGCCGCGCGCGTGCCCGCTCTCCCCGGAAGTCCCGCTCCTCCGCGCAGCCCCCCTTCCCTCCCTGGCACCTGCGCTGCCGGCCGGTGGGTCACGTGCACAGCCTGCAGCCGCAGCTGTCCGCCCTGCTGCGACGCTTGAGACCCTGGAGCCTCGCCCCCACTCTTTTTCCAGGTCTGGAGAGCAACCTGCGCAACCTGACACAGTGTCCAGTGTGTTGCCCCAGGGCGCGCTGGCCCTCTGTCCTCCCTGATCCTGCCTACTTATAAAGTTCAAGGCGCCGCTGCTACTCCTAGCGACCCTTCTTCCGGTAATATAGTTTATGGTTATCTTCGAGAACGGATTCACGGTAACTTTCAGAAGTGACAGGGGACCAACATGCCAGAAGTGGACAGAAGTCCTGAACCTGGGAAATGAAAGGATATGTTGTCACAGCTGATTCCAGGCAGACAAGGCCCAGAGCAACACCTTTAAATTCCAGGGCTTGGCATGCTGTTGTGCACTTGCCGGCTCATTCACGTCAAACTTGTGTGAAACACTTAAGCACAGCAATAATTGTTACAGGTATTTCACCTTAGAATTGAAAACCTTGGTCCCATGTGGAATTATACCGCCCGAATCAGCAGAACTGAATGTGAAATTGGAGTCAGCTGTATTTTGTAGAAGGCCTGGGTTTAGCCTACTGCAAAGATAGAATTTCACAGAATGTTAAGTCCTGTCTCTTGCAGGTTTGTATCCTCCCACACACAATAGAAGAGGAACAGTGCCCTCATCTATTTTGAGGTGTCCTTAACATTCTCATTAGTCTCAAGTCAATGGTTTAGCAATTGTGTTCCTCTTTTAGACCCACAATCTGTTTGCTACCCCTAGGGCATGTCTGGCTGGCTTCCAGCGCTTGGATCCTGTGGTCTCGATAGTTGGAATTCAGGATGCTGAGTTCCAAAAGTAAGGAAAGTCTTGGTCACCAAGACAGATAAAGAGGAAAGAACGAAAAACAGCTGACTGAAAACATTAGCTGCTGTGTCAATTTCTAGAATTTTTCTGGAGCAGTTTGATTCTTTTCATTCAGTGTGGCTTGATAACAGATCAAATTTGAAAGTACAATTTGAATCCCAGATACCGAAAAGGAGTGGTGCAGATCAATAAAACACCTCTTTTAAGGTTCAAAAGTTGATTGTCATCGAAGTTGCTGCACTAAGAATCTGAAACTCATCTGTATTGGTTGACTGATCTGTTGGTTCAGAATAAATAAATACAATTAAACAGTGAAGAATATAACTGTGTTTGTATGGAAATCTTCCCACCACCAGCTCATGGGGGCGGGGGGGAATCCTTGGCCTTAGCACGATGTCTGTCACATAGTAGATGCTCAATGAATACTGCTTACTGACATATGGCTATTAAGAACTAATTAAGAAAATGTTTGTTAAATAATTAATTCAGAGAGGGCAAATTTTTCCTAAAAGACTCAAGTATTTTCTTAAGAGTAGTGGGTTTGGGACTGGCACTGTGGTGCAGCAGGTTAAAGCCCTGGCCTGTGGCACTGTCATCTCACATAGGCACTGGTTCAAGTCCTGGCTGCTCCACTTCTGATCCAGCTCTATGCTATGGCCTAGGAAAGCAGTGGAAGATGGCCCAAGTGCTTGGGCCCCTGCACCCCCATGGGAGACCTGGAGGAAGCTCCTGGCTCCAGGGTTCAGATGAGCTCAGCTCTGGCTGTTGTGGTCATTTGGGGAGTGAACCAGCAGATGGAAGACCTCTTTCTGTGTCTCTTTCTCTGGCTCTATGTCTTTCTGTAACTCAAAAAATCTTTAAAAAACAAGTGGGTTTTTATTTCTTTTTTTTTTTTTTACTTGAAAAGCAAGGAGACAGAGAAAGACATCTTTTATTCAGTGATTTACTCCCCAAATGCCCTCAACAGCCAGGATGGAACTAGGCCAAAGCTAGAAACCCAAAACTCAATCCAGTCTCCCACATGGGTGGTAGGAACCCACGTACTTGAGCCATCATTGCTGCCTTCCAGGATGTGCGTTAGCAAGTAGCTGGATGGGAAGCAGAGGCAGCACTAAAACGCAGGCACTCTTATAGACACAGGCACCCTAAGATGTGGCTTAACAGCTTTGCTCAGCTCCTGCACCAAGTAGTGTTTTATTTATTTAAAATAATTAGTAGTTTGTTAGATAACCACCAAAACTCAACACAAGGATATTTTCCAGTTCATTCTGTTACTAGAAGAGAAAATAAATTTTAGGCACTAGCCCTTCTCGGGTATCCTTATATCTGGTTTTCCAGTTTCTTAAAAAAAAAAAAAAAAGCTTAAAACAATGCTTCCTAAAAGCTGCCTTTTTTTTCTTTTTTTTTTTTTTTAAAGATTTGTGCATTTATTTGAAAGTCAGAGTTGTACAGAGAAGGAGAGGCAGAGAGAGAGAGAGAGGTCTTCCATCTGTTGGTTCACTCCCCAATTGGCTGAAATGGCCGGAGCTGCACTGATTCGAAGTCGGGAGCCAGGAGCTTCCTCTGGGTCTCCCATGTGAGTGCAGGAGCCCAAGGACTTGGGCCATCTTCTACTGTTTTCCCAGGCTATGGCAGAGAGCTAGATCAGAAGTGGAGCAGCTGGGACTAAAACCAGCACCCATATGGGATGCCAACACTGCAGGAGGCGGCTTTACCCACTATGCCACAGCGCCAGCCCCAAACTGCCCTTTTCTCTTAGCTTTTAGAATGTGTTAGGCAATGCAGTCCATGTAGGGCTTTTAGTTAGTGTCCCTCTTTCAATCTAGTGATGTGATGAGAGATGAGCTGAAAAAGAAAAATGAAGCTTGTGTCCTCCGACTGCAAACATTAGAAAACTTATTCTATCCAGTTTAGGCAAAAAGGAGTTTCATAGAAGGGTATCAGGAGCTCTGAGAACTGATGGGAAGCCTCCCAGAGTAGGGAGCTGGCAGGAGGTAGAGCAACCCTAGAGGACACAGAAGCAGTGATGACAGAATAATCAGGGCAGGCATGTTGTGTCTAGGAGTCTCCAGCTGGAAGGGGTGAAGCCCAATCTATGGCTCTTTATACTGCAAATTCATGTCCCAGCTTCCAGGTGTCCTAACTTGGAACAGTGGCTTTTCCCTCAGTTAAGGTGGGGTAGCATCCATTCATCAAAGCCCCATCGGGTTTAAGAAAGCAAAGTGGACGGTGGGTGGCACAAAGTAGCATAATTCATCGGAGGAAATATGGTGCCAGGCCAAATGAGCTGGGGAAACACTGAAAAATGGATCCTTGTCACACTGGTGTATTAAAGACTCTGAAATCTTATACTGAAGAAATCTCCTTCAATTCCTAAGTATTCTGGAGTCTGGTTGAGTATGGGACCCCTCGCTACCCCAGCCCCCCAGCTTACCTCTGTACTCCTCGGGAAAGCACGAATTGTTGCACCGTTCCTTTCCCATCTATCGTCAGCTTGTCCATGAACCAAGATGTAAGAGCATAGCATAAAGCTAATGTTATCATAAGCTTTTCCACAATTTTAACAGCTGTGTGAGAAGCAGAGTTGGAACTGTCTTCAGACAGATTAGATCTCAATCGAAGATGACATCACGAAAGAGAGCTATGTCACAGTTCCTTATTCAACTCAGTGATTACCTGTCATAGCTGCCTCCTCCCATAGCAAGTGAGGAAGCAAGTGTCATTTTTAATGCCAGTGTCATGGTTTTCAGTCACAAATCAGTAGTGACATGAAGGAGTCACTGAGTCATATTTCTAATTACCACACTTCCAGGGAGAAGAGATCAATATTTATTATGCCAAAACCAAAATTGATTTGCCATGGTATTTTCTAGTTTTGAAGTGAAAAATACAAAATAACTCCAACACTTCAATGTGTTCAATTACCTGTTAAGTGTACTTTGTAGCTAAGTCTTCCTATTCTTCAGGGGCTAGTATCACTCAAAACCAGTTGTGCCAGAGGAAAATTGTTACTATTAAAATGCCTGATGTTTGCATTTTTCTGCCACTTTCTGTGGGACAAAATTCTGTTACTGTTTTCAGTCTTATTCAATGTAATCAACTAGACACATGATGGGAGTTTAGTAAAGATCTATTATACTGAATAAAAAATAGTGCCTGTCCACAAGACAGAATAGTTTAATCACCTTACTAAATTGAAACAGATAAATTTGGAATGGATTCCTCCAAAATATGGAGACCAATTTAAAGATAAATTGCTGTATGATTATTCAGAGTGCAAAGATGTAAAAAGATTGCAAAATCTGGTGTTAGAGAGAATGTTGGTAAATAGGAACATATGAAAGCACAAATGGATACAAGACCAAACATTTTGTAGAACAACTTGTCAATATTTTCATTGGTTACTATGGCTTTTGACTCAGCAACTTCCCTTCCAAGAATTTATCCTGACTACCACAAACAAAAACGCAGTGATGTATGCGAAAGAACACTCGTGATGGCTTTGTAATATCCAAGGTGAGGGGAAGAGAGAGGGAGGGAGATAGTGAAAATACAGACCCATCATTTGAGGACCAAAGTATAAGAATATGAAGTAGCCATTTTAAAAATAGAAATCTGGAACAGGCATGTACCCTTGTGGTAAATTCACTCCACCCCATGTTTCAGGGCCTGAGTTTGATTACTCTCCCTGGCTCCTGATTGCAGCCCCCTACCATTGCAGTTGATGGGAGGCAGCAGTGATGTCTCAGACAATTGGCTTCTTATCACCCACGTAGGAGATCTGGCTCTCAGCTTTAGCCCCCAACCCAGTCATTTTGGGCATTTGGGGAAATGAATAAGTAGCTCAGAGTCCCTCTGCTTCTCAAATAAACAAACAAATAGAGATCTTCTTACACTGATGTTAAAGATACATCACTCTGAGAAAAAGCAAGTTGAAGATCATTTGTGTATTAAGATCACTTTGTGTAACAGTGTGTGTTTTTCC